AAAAGAAACTTACACATGCTAAAAATCTACTAGACCACAGTCATTTAAGAGATATTTTCTATAAATGAAGGCGGAAAATCCTGTCTTTGTCCACGTCATGAGTGCTGGACTTGCATGTTGAATTCCCCCATCCCATTAATGTTTAGCATTTATAGATTCTTAATAGGTATCCCAGATGAGATGGATTTGTATATGCCAAAGGAATCAGATGCTGGCTGCTCTGTGACCATTGTCTCCATGATTTACTTTAAGGAGTAACTGGATGGCTTGTAACTCCTTCTGTGTGCCTTACCAGTGAATGGATGACTTGAACATTTGGATCGCGTCATTCATCATCTTTTTGTTTCTGAAGAGCCCATGATTTGTGATTTCTTTAATAGGAACAGGTTCCTATGTAATTTCTCCACAAAGTTATGTAGTAGTTACTTCGAAATACAGCCTTAGTTCCTTGGAATTTTGTAGTGGCCTCACAAAATTGCTGAAAAGACAATGACAACGGACCTTTTACTAGCATATTATTTATAGGATGAGGTCATCTATTTACACTCCAGTTCAATGAAATACTTAATTTATACTTTGAGCCTATGCTTAAAGACTTTGCTAATTTTGGATCTGGCTCACATGTATAGATCTCTAAATGTCTTTGAGATACATTTTCAAAGGATAATACTAGACCTTATGTAGTATTTTAGTCAAAGATCCCAGAGTGCATAATCGAAGCCTCTGTAGCACTGTCTTCATTCCACAGTTGCTTTGCCTTTTAATTTCCTTCTTAAAAAAGTGCATATGTAATGTCTCTTCAGTATGGGCTAGAATTAAAATGGCATTGTGAGAAAAAGCAGTGGAAAGAAGCTACTAAGGAGACAAACTGGAAAGGGTTAAGGAATAAGAGAGCACAGCAGTCTCTGGATTGGAAGTGCTCGGGCATGCACGTAGATCTCAACTGTGGACAACTGAATGAAAAGATTTGATTAGAGTGCCAAAATGAACCAAAGAGAGAATAAAAATACTAGCTTTCCAGTAAGATATAACAAATGGTACTGAAAAATACTTTCTGTTTTGATGAATGGAAAAATTGACTCACATCTTGAATGCCATCTTCAGTTTGAATCACTCCACTGCAAAACCAGAATAAAAATGAAATGAAGATGCACAGGCAGAATTAAAGGCAGGAAGAGATTGAAAAGACTGGACTGCTTATGCAGACGTATAACTTGATGGTTATGAAGAAGATCATTTTGGAGATTTTATTCGTCTTTTCTCAAAACAAAGGAAAAAACACAGGAAATAATGTATTTGAATTAGAAATCATACTGAATTTAATTTTTGCAGATCATAATTAGCCTGTGGAAATCTCAAAATGTAGTAAATCATGTACTATAGAGACAAAGAGTTCTAGGGGATTTTTTTTAACAAGCAGGACTATAAGCAATAAAAATATCTCCTGTCCTAGTAGTTATCTCCATATCAGGGAACCTGCAAAACACTTACTGTAGCAGTCAGGAGAAGCTTCCGCAAAAGCCTATTTTTTGCATGATTTTCCTTCAGATTTTACAGTTCTTCTATAGCATCTGGTACCAGTCAGTGCTGAGACAAAATCTGTGAGCAGTCAAACAGCAATCTATCCAGGGCATTGTGATAATTTCTCTTCTTGTGACGATGATGGTCATTTTCATTTTCTGTTGAAAGCTAAACATTTCCAGTACGTATAGAGAGTAAGGGGAGACGAAGTCCACAGAAGATATTCAGAAGACTGGAATCATTTCTGTGGTGGTAAAAGAAAGGGTTATGATGAAAGTTCTATAACATAACGCTTTATAGAAGGTAAATGTGTGTTTCTATTCGTCATGTAAGAGGCAGGATTCAGTCAGTGAAAACTGAGATTAAGTATTTTGTACAGCTTCACAGCACTATATGACTGAAGCCAATAGCTTTGTAGAAATACAGAAAGAACTAATTTGTGTTTGTTTGTATAATAGGAATTTAAATAAAGAGTTTTGATTTAAGGAAAAATCATCGAGCTTCAGGGCGAAAATTGATCTGATTGGTGAGGTTTAAGAAGAATTCCCCCATAAGTAGATTATACTTGTTTGTTTTAGAGGTTTGTCTGACTTTGTTTAATTTTTGCAGTATCTCACAGTGCCTACTATTAGAGAGAAAATTCTGGACTAGGACAGACCAGCAGTTTGGTCTATACTGGACATATCTATTTTTCTAATAGAGCTAATCTAATTTTCTGCTGGCACTGTGTGTAACTCAGTTTAGGGCTAAAATGTTTTAAAAAGTAGTGGTACATCCTAGAGCCAAGTCATTGACCTGAATTTCATAGTATAATTCATGTTGCTTGGGGTCAGTGTGTTGCATTCAGATTTAACATCCAGTTCTCTGGGGTGGATAACAAGACCAATCAAACATGATCAACAAAACTTTAGGCCAAGCACTAAGCTATGATTGCCTTTAATGATAATAAGGCAATACTTAAATATGTGGCTGTGAAGTACGGGTATCAGAGTGACTAGTTCTATATGTACCCTATTTTGAATCAAGGACACCAGTGCAACTATTTGTTTTATTGTAGTTTCATAATACACTTTAAAGAAGGCGCTGCTTGTGCTTTCCTTCTGGGCAATTTCATAGGATGTTACACAGTTCTGTATCAGTATTTGGTGATTTGCATGAATAGCCCTGGGGTTTCTGTTACCATCCTTTCCCTGTACTTTCGAAGCCTCTGTAATCTTACAGCGTTGGGTGCCCCTGCTGCAGTCTTGTGACTTCTCACAATTATACACTTGCTTCTTCTAAAGTTCTTCACTGTTCACTCTGAACAACAGTAAGATTTAAATATATATGTTCATTATATATGTATGAAGTTCATTATATATGTAGGAATGTGATAATTTCTTAACTCCTTGTTGTTAATATCCAGTTAAGACAGTGTTATTGGTGTGGGTTAGAATTTAGTTCTTTTCAGGTTGTAATGACTATTTTGATGGAAGACATTGCAATACTATGTTAGGCAAACGTAGTGGTAATGAATCAGGAATTGGCACGCTCTCCTTTGAGTCAGGAGATTAGGGGGCATTGCGTACCAAAGGTACTTTCGTTTGGCTCAGACGCAGGTCTGACCATCTGTGGTCGTAAAAGATCCTGGGAATGTTTTTGTAATAATAGGGCTGCTAACCTAGTTTAGTAACCAAATTTCATTACGAATAATGGCATTCTGAAGAACTTTCCCAAATTATTGCTATTACTTCTCTTAGAAAATATGCTTTGTCATGCTGTCCTGCTTATATATGCAATTTTATGAATTTTAAACTGCTCTAAATCATATCCAAGGCCCAAACAAAACTGTCTTTGCATATAGTTTGTAAAGCTGTAGAATACTTTCTAAATATTGATCATGATAATCATGCCAGTGTGCACAGGTAGTTCAGATGCTTCTTTGAGATGTTCAAAGGCTGTTGTCTGCAACAACAGATGAATGACTTCTGTCCCCTGTTTTTCCTCTGGGCCTGAAAGTCACTAATTGCATTGTTCTTCCGATTTTAAAAGCCTGCAAGCAATGTAAACAAAAAATGAGTAGTTTAGTGATCCCCTGGGATCTTATCAGTGTTGTAAGGCATGCTGAATATATATTATAATAAAGGCCCTGTTGTGCCCTTAGGAAATAAATAGCTGCCCTTCATTACTGTTGAAATATTGAAGATCAATTTAAGGGGTTTGCCTGGTTCATGTTAGATGTTTAATAAATTTGAATACACTGGAGGAGGAAACTATGTTGTTAATTCCCGTATCGGTTTCCTTTGCAAACTCTTGCAAGCTCTTGCAGACTTTTACTGGATCAGGATACAGCTGATTATACTTTTCTTTCATCTATTACAGCTTAGAACAACACACACATATCTGATAAACTTGGTAACTCTGCTATTTGATGTAGTCATCATATGCAGATGAGACTTATCAGAGCATTTCCTCGCTAAAATAAAACAGAGGAAAATGTTTAATAACCATCTTTAAATTATTTTTTTTCCAAGTTATCTTTGAAATGGTAAATAGCAAACGAGTGTAGCATATGCATTTGTATCCGGAGATTTTCATCACTGATATTTTTTCTCCCCCTGTGCAGTACTGGCCTTATCACCTCTGTAAATCAAAACCCTTTGAATTTCTGTGTTGGAGACTTGAAGTAACATTATGAGATATCACAGAGCTGTCCTATCTAGTAGCAGTTTAGCTACCTCTAAGGGGCATGGATTTTTTTAAAGATGGATGAGCCTAGAAGCCTAAAAGAGAAAGGCTTTTCTCTCTCTTGCGGGCAACAAAAAAGAAGTAACTGTTCCTTCATATCTTCTGGCAGCTCCCAGTACCTATAATGAGAAAAGTATTTATCTAAAAAAAAAAAATGCAGCTACTAATGCGTGATCTGATTGCAGTGCTTTACATTGCGTATTGAAAGTCCAAGGCCTGACTTTCAGTCCCAGTAGTTTATTCTTCAAGCTGGTAAGAGCTGGATTCCTTGCAGAGGCAGTGAATAGAAACGCTGTAAAAATAGAACTGCAAAGTTTCTCATCTGTGATTAGGTCAAAAAATGGCAGGGATGCATCCTTGGCCAGGTGTATTCACACAGTGTAGTGCATGTGATGTGTAAAGTTAGGGAAATTGTAATGTGTTCTGGCTTCCAGCAAGGAGTAGGAGAAAGACAAATGTAAACTTCGCAAACAGTTGGCTGGGACAAGAAAGTGAAAGCAGGAGGAAATAAAATGGCAAGCAAAAATGGCTGCCAGAATGAAGCTGTGTGGTTCAGGCATCCTGGGATTATTCCCAACCATGAGAGAAAACTAGGTGCCACAGGTAGGTATTCGATGAAAAAGCCTGTAGAACAGAGGAGAAGCCACTCTCACATGACTTGGAAAAATACCAGGCAAACAGAGAACAGAAAGAGAAAATGCTGCACGGTAGCAATACTATGTTGTTGACATCAGTATCTCGTTGTCCCATAGGTTTGAAGTTTGAGGAAATGCAAGAAAAGTTTGGGGAGGAATTCTTCAATATCTGCTTTGATGAGAACGAAAGAGTTCTTCGAGCTGTAGGTGGGACCCTTCAAGACTTCTTCAATGGCTTTGATGCTTTACTGGAGCACATTAGAACTTCATTTGGAAGACAGGCCACTCTGGAATCCCCTTCTTTCCTATGCAAAGAGCTACCTGAAGGCAACCTCATGCTTCATTACTTTCACCCACATCATATTGTGGGGTTTGCAATGACGGGAATGATAAGGGCAGCAGCAAAGAAGATTTACCGCTTGGAAGTGGAAGTAGAACAGATCACTAATGATAAGTTATGTTCAGAGGGGACGAACCCAGGTAATTGTAGTTGTCTGACTTTCCTTATCAAAGAACGTGAAAATGCAAATATCACAAAAGCACTTCCACCAGGAACATCCCAGTCCCCCTTGGACCTGAGGATTAGCATCAGCACCTTCTGCAGAGCTTTCCCCTTCCACCTGATGTTTGATCCAAATATGCTGGTTCTCCAGCTTGGAGAAGGTCTTAGGAAGCAGCTCAGATGTGACACTCATAAAACACTGAAATTCCAGGACTGCTTTGACATCGTTTCTCCTAAGATCAGTGCTACCTTTGAACGAGTCCTCATGAGATTATCTACTCCTTTTGTGATTCGGACCAAACTTGAAGATTCTGGCTCTGAAAATAAAGATAAGGTAAGAGCATTAATTTGGAATGGGATATGTGTATGCGTGTGTGTGTGATTGGAGAGGATTACTTATTTAGAAGGAAGCAGCTTAGGTCTTGTGTATTCTAGAAAGCTCACTTACGCCTTCCAAACAGGGGCTAAGTGGTATTCCCCAGACAAGTGAATGTTTTCCTGGATTATTTATAAGCTTTGCATATGATGTTCTAACAAATCATAATATTGCCACTGAGAAAATTCTGCATTGCAGAGTTGTATAATACAACTCAAATCAAAGGGTGGGGAATTTTACAGAAAGCCCATATCTAATCCTTAATTTCACTTCAGCTATATTGTGATAACAATAATAGTCATTAAGCCCCCATTTACTGAGAAATAGCTTTAAATATGTTTTATGGAAGACTAGCTGCAGGGTTTGCACTGCCACTTTATATCCTACTTCCCTATTTGGAAATGCTACTTTTCTCCATGTTTCTTCTTATCTCTGCACTCAAGGGAACCAGAGCTGCAAGTGGCACCACGTGTCACTTATGCCAGTTTTAATGCTTTCCAGTCATTTAAATGAGCACTTGCCCTCCTACTCTGCCTCTTACCTCAGTATTTCGGAAGAGAGTTACCCAAACTAGTGAGCCCTTCATTGAGTTCAGTGCATCCCAGGTGAGTTACGAGAGAACATGCCTTCTCGATTAGGCCTCCTCAAAGAGTTGGATGGAGTTTGTCTCACTGCATACTCTTGAATTATGGCAAAGCTTTTTGATGTTAAGTGGGATGCTAGCTTTATTGACCAAAGTACTTATACTTCATGCTTGCATCAAAAGCCTATGCTTGGGTGCCTTGGAAATACTGTTGCTCTAAATGAAGGAATTACTGATTTTCAGGGTTTTTAAGAGTTTCCTAAGAGTGTCATGATTTCGATTTTCCTACCTATGCTGGGCTGCAGTTTCAGAAGGTAACTGCAGAAGGTAACTCCCATGGTAACTGCTTACGGAGTTCTGGGTTCTTTTAAAAATACAGCCACTTGTGACAGCGGTAATATTTCCAGCTCCTCTTTGGCCCTACTTCTTGGCACCAGTAAAAATGTTTCTGCTGCATTTTCCCTTGGAAACAACATGTTTCCCCAAGAGAAGCAAACTAGCGCTTCTCATTTGGTATGAATTGTTGTAATTCAACCTATTTAGAACCAAAAGGCAGTTTATTTTACAGGCTCTGTCCTCAATCTCACCCTATCTATAACTGTGAAGAGGAAATGTGGAAATGTTGTGTAAGAAGTTCAGAGTTGTTAGCTTGGAGCTGCTCTTAGGCACGGCCCTACCTGCTTTTGGAAGAGGTTTTTGCTCCTCCTTCCTCCCTTGGAGACTGCCTGTCCCTCTTGGAAGTCTGTTCTGCTGTAGAACAGAGTCCCAGCCCTTCGAGAGCTTTTAGCCCTTAACAAATTTGCTGTAAATGATGCTGAAGAGTGAGAATAAGGTTTTGGGGGGCCTTTTTGACACATAGTTTTCCTAATTACGAAGGAAAAAAAAAAAAGAAAAGATTAGCCACTCTTCTACCTGGGCAGGTTTGGTACATTTGTGGCTCATTGGAGAGGTTGCAGGGAGTGGAGCTTACTGGAAGCAGGTTTTAGCAGCCGACTTGGGAAACAACTGTGTTTTCAGAAGCCTGTTCTGAACCATCAAGCTGTGCTGCCTTGAGCACATCCTTGCGTTATTGTGGTGTTTTGTACCATGTGTCATTACCAGGTGGGTAATGAATCAAATCAGCTATGGGCCTAGCTGCCACTCAAGACAGTGACTGCTCTTTGTCTTCATGTATATGTAAAATCAGACCCTGGATAGCAAGCATTGGCACTCACAGTATAATAGCAATTCAGATATTCTTGAGAAGCAATTAAAAAGGAATGAAGTAAAGGAAATCCTTTGTCTGCCAGCAATTAGAAGACAAGTTGTATCTGGGACAGTAAGGTGTAAATGAAATAAAAAAGGGTGGTGGGGAAGTGCAGGAAATGCAGGGTAAACATTGTGCTGCAGGCGCTGGAAGTAATTTGAGAGTGCCAATTTACCTTAAAGGGTATTTCTTCCTAAATCACTCATTTTATGAATACTTCCCAAAAGTTTATGTCTGTGAGTAGCTATATGATTAAACAAGGAAGGCTGCATGTGATGTGTTTTGCTAGATATCCCCTTTATTTGCAAGACTAAAGGTTATGCATATTCTGAGAAGTCACAGTCATCTTGCTTTCATAGATTGTGAAAGGAAGAACTTGGCAAATCTCATGCTCAAGCCCTTGATTTTCTCCTGGATATTCAGAATAGACTGAGCTTTGGGATCTTCATGCTGTGTTAGTTTCTCAGAGCTCAGAGCACTCAGGTAGCTCATTTTGGAATGCTTTCCAATTTGCCAACTTTTATTTAAAATTTGAGTATTGAGTGGTTAGATTGCTACTTCCTGCTGTAAGTAGCATCATACAAAAAGTCAATGGTAATTGATTTATGGTATTTCTCTATTTTCTGGACTGTTACACATCTCTGTTCAGTTCATACTGGAGTTGCATCCCACTGACAACTATGTATTTCTGAGTATTTTGCAGAAAATTCTGACTCAGCAGTAATCTCAGCACTTTTCAGATTTGGTTACTTTAGGTGGCAGTTAAAGGGAGAGAACGCAGACCAGTGTGCCATAGTTTTTAAGCTGCTCAGCTCTCTCAGCGTTTCTTCAAGAATTAAAAAAAATGTTTTCAAACCCTTTGTGATGCACAGAGGCCCTTTCAGCCTCTCTTCAAAGCACTTTTATCTTCGTTTCCATACATAAATAAGATTTTTTTAGGCTAGCAGTGAGTAAGACAAAATAACAAAACAGTTTTCAGTTAGTCCTGACACCAGCTCTGTGTTCAGATGAAAGTAAGGCACAAATTATGATCTTCCCTTAACTCAGCACCTGTGAAGACAAATTTAAAAAAAAAAAAAACCGTTCTGAGTGTCAGCATATTAGTTCTTGTCCCAGTTCTGCAAAGGCTCATTTGTGTGCTTCGGTTTACTGGAGCTGAATCACTGAAACAAATGGCTTGGCGTTATTACACTGTCCTAAGTTTCTGAGGTAAGGCATAGGAGGGTTGGGGTGATATCTAGCACTCACTGGAAACAGAGACGCCTTTGCAGAAGCAGAGCCTAAATTAGGCATCACAACAAAGAAAGCAACAGTGAGAAGGGATGCTTGGACTGAGTCTCTGACAGCTGATCTCTAAAGGCTTTTGGTATAGTCGGTTATGGAAGACTAACTCGCCTAAGTTAACGAATAGAGACGACAAAGTAAAGCTTTCAACTGTATGAAAGTTTCAGTGGAGAGGAGACTCCTCTGTCACTTTGAAGTATTTAACGTTTTACCCATATATCTTATTTTCAATATTAGGTCATTTTTAAAGAAGATTTGTAAAGAAACATGTATTTTTTTCCATTTCAGACCAATTAATACTGTTGCCTCTGCTCTCTGTTAGAAGTTGATTTCGGAGAAAAAGGAAACTTCTCCTAGCTTATAAAACTCTTCCTGCTATCCCAACGCATATAGCAAATTGCAGAATTATTCACAAGAGTTGAGTTTAGCCACTGAGAGTGTTTGATTAGGTATAGCTTTTCACTTGCATAGCTGCAACGTTCCTAATGGCAAAAAAAAAAAAAAAGCTTCCAGTCTTTTAGAGCATCCAACAGCAGCATTTGTCTCCCTTCCCACAACAACTGTATTGTTTGCAGACTACATGCTCCATTCAAAGCATACTTTTTTTTGCTGTTGTAAATTTACTAATATTTGATTTCATCTTTCATTTTATTCTAATAGTATAAGTTCAGAATTTTTAACATTGCGCACCAAATTAGGCTGACAGAGCAATTAAAATGCACTGTTAGCTCTGCAAACTTTTGTTAATTTTACATGTTGCCAGGTGTTCTTTGGCGCTCTAAACATGTAAAGGCTCCCATTTTTCTAGAGACCAAACACAAAAAAGCACTCCCCATCTGAACAGCATGGACTAGTTTTAATCTCCATTTTCAACACTATCCATAGTCCTGGGCCATAAATGAAATGTTCTGATGTTTGCTTGGCTGAGTTTTGAATCTCCGTTGTACAATGGACATATTCAAAGGAACAGGTGGACAATGCAGGCCTTGATTCTGCAAAAAGGTAAGCAATTTTATAAATTTATTAGGTCAGCAGCCTCACTGAATTTATTCAAGCTTCTCATAATTTTGCAATCAACAGAGAATGTGGAGAAAGAGAACCAAATTGTACAACCCAATCCAGAATAGGACAGGGTGTGATGATTTGCTAAATCCTTCCTTCCTTCCTACCATCCTTCCTCTTGGAATGACCAAATTGTCTACACTTATGCATTGGTCTTTTTCTTGATCTTATTCTGCACATTCAGAATTTTCTCTAGGAACAGTTATGACTGTTTCTCAGGTCAGGTTTACTAGTATGCGCACATCTTTAGATGTATAGAAGCTAAAAGGAATCTGCCTCTGAGGTTTCCAGTTTTCTCATGTAGTTAAATTCCTGTTGTTCTTTGTTTATATTATGGTACTACCCAGATACTGAAGGGAGTATTAGGGCCCAGTTGTGCCACTTCCTGTATTTTTCAGATTTCACACTAATTTTTATTCAGTCATTTTTTGTGTTTAACTAGAGAGCTTCACTTGCATTCAGTCATGTTTTTGAAATTACTGGTATTGTCCTTAAATAACAAGGTGACAAATATTATTTCTTCACCTCTCTAAGCAGTATTACTCTACACCTTTCTTTCTGGGAGCAAACATTTATTTCAAGTATATGGGGTAGATTGTTTAGATTGTTTATAGTTTCACGCAGAATCACAGAATAGTTGAGGTTGGAAGGGGCCTCTGGAGATCATCTAGTCCAACTCCCCTGCTCAAGCAAGGTCACCTGAAGCACATTGCCCAGGACCCTGTTCAGATGGCTTTTGAAAAACTCCAAGGATGGAGGTATTAACACATGGTTAATAAAACT